CTACCCATCCTACCCCAGGCTTTTAGTCTGCAGCTAAGGCCTACCTTGTGCTTTCTGCTGGTCAGTCTGCACACTCCATTTTCCTAGTATAATCCCCATTTTTCTAGTATTCCCTTATTTTTCCATTTGGCAAGCTTCATCTCTTCGGACCAGGTAAATATTGTCAAACCAAAGAATATCCTGCTAAAGCTACTGTGTTAAGGATCTATCTTTATTTCCTAGCATATGTATAAATGTGTTTGTGGTTGTGTATTGTTTGAATGATATATATCTCTCAGTAAAGAGACATTATATTTTACTGAATCCAGTCTCTGTGTTTGTTCAGATACTTACAGCAAGGGTGGGACTTCTGTATACATTGGTGAGAACCCTAATTTGCCTATTGCCCATTAATAATCATATTCACCTAGATTAATTAATAATTAAAGGCGATTTGGCTAACAGGGTTGAAATTAAATCAGATGAATTTTTGGCTAACCAATAGGAGGAATTTCCTGACACAGCGGTTCCTCAGTGAAACAGGGTTCCTCAGGAGGTGGTGGGCTCTCCTTTGGAGGTTTTCAAACTGAGGCTAGATGGCCATCTGACAGCAATGCAGATTCTGTGAACTCAGGCAGATTATGAGAGGGAGGGCGGGAAGGGTGGCCTCAGTGCTTAGTTCTCGTGGCCCTTCCTTACACTCCCAGGGAAATGCTGATTGCCACTTTGGAGTCAGGAAGCAATTTTTCTCAAGGCCATTATGGCTGGAGATCCTGGAGATCTTTTGTCATCTTCTGGGTGCAGAATAGGGGTCACTGAGTGAATCTCTGCATTGCGCAGGAGGTTAATGTTTGTGTCTCTCCTTTCCCCCGCCAGAGAGAACCCTCTCCTCATACGCAAGTGACTGAAGGCATCTTTACACAGTCAGAGGTGACCCGAAAGAAGGGGAAAGAGATGGAAGAGCAGAAACCAGAAGGATCTGGAACTCACAAGACAGCAAGAAAAGGCCCCCAACCCACCCAAGCTGGGAGTCGTGCTGAATTTTGGAAAAGTCCGGGGCCAGAGCTCCATTCTCAGCTCACTGCAGTCCCAGACGTACATTGCCAACACTTCCGGCAGTTCCGCTACCATGAGGCCGCTGGGCCCCGAGAGGTTTGCAGGCAGCTCCAGGCCTTTGCAGCAACTGGCTGAAGCCGGAGAGGCACACCAAGAAGCAGATCCTGGACCTGGTGATCCTGGAGCAGTTCCTGACTCTCCTGCCCCAAGAAATGCAGGGCTGGGTCAGAGGATGCGGGCCGGAGACCAGTTCCCAGGCAGTGGCCCTGGCCGAAGGTTTCCTCCTGAGCCAGGCAGAGGAGAAGAGGCAGGCAGAACAGGTGAGGGGGGGGGTTCCCTCCAGGTACGTCCAGTTCAAGCAAGGATATCTGACATTATCCTAAAGGTTCCTGGCCAGACATCTGTCCGAGTGCTAATCGTTCAAGTGGGAGATTTAACAGTCTCCTTCAGCAGCCTCTTCTGCTAGAGAATTTCTCAGTCCTCCAGATATAACTCCGCAGGTCTGCTGACGGAAGGGTGCAGAGTCTGGGAGTGGGGCAGGAGCCATTCCTTGGTCTCTTTTCCATTCCGTCTCTCACCCCTCTCCCTCGCTGCTGTTTCAGGTGTCAGGACCATCCGTGGAGAAAGAAGCTACGTTCCCTGAGGTGGAAGGAGCTTCCTCGGAGCAAGAGCAGAGAGCGCAGACCCAGGAGCGTGGCCACGATGCCCTCTCCTGTGGTAAGGACTCTTTGTGCCTGGATACGATTGGGGCCCCCAGTGAATCTGATGGGTAGAGAGTTCAGTTTAGGAAAGAAATTAAATGCTTCTTCACAGCACACAGAGTTGGTTTGCAGCACTCAATGTCCACCAACTGCGGTGCCTCTGAGAGGAGATGAGAGAAATTCGTGGAGGGCGATTCTTCTTGTTAATTAAAATCTTCATATCTCACTTTCCTTCCATAAGAGGGACTGAAGGTGGCTGAAAGAGAAAAGGCAGACAAACCGGGGCAGAGCTCTTCAGCCTGGCGAATGAAGGGAGCCTCCACCTTCTGGGGCAGCAGAGCTCTGAGAATTATTTCCTAGGGGCCGATTAGTCGTGGGGGAAACTGGCTTCTGTTCCCCTGCTGAAGGAGGCATCTGGTGGGTTGCTGTGGGAAACACCCCCCCCCGGGGGGTCCCCCGGGAGGTTTGGGGAGGGGCTTTGGGAGGGCTCGGGACAGATCAGCCGTCATGTTGCTTTTTCTTGTGGCTGAGAAACTGGCCTGCAAAGAGACACTCTGAGAACTCATTCACATGACCCCTGAGTCTCCAAATGCGCTCAAGTCTCGCGTCTGGGCCGAAGGTGACCCTGATGTGTCCTGTGGAGTCTTTCCCACCCCCCTCGCTCCTTCCCCCCAGGCCAGACACAGACCCCACAGAAGTCTGAAATGCGTTGGCAGCATTTATGACCCCCAGCGGCTCACAGGTGCCTCGTGCTTCACTTCTGCCTCTCCCTGAATTTAGTATAAAATGTGTCGAGTGTGCGCAGGGCCGGGTTTCACGATCTAAGGAAGGGGGCGTGTGAAGCAGGGAACAAGCAAGCAAACTCCCTTCCTCCCTCCTTTGTCTCAGGAACAGGCAGTGAAGAGATGCTGTTGAGCCGTCGTCTTCTCAGAGGTGTGGAAACAGCTGCTGCCCCTCCAGTCCAGGTAGGGGAGAGGAGCGGGGGGGGGGACAGTCGGGGTCCCTCCTCCTTTCTCAGGGGGGCTTTTGCTCCTGCGGTTTCTACAAGGTGTCCGGGCGAGAGATCTTCTGAACACCGTTCCCTTGACACATCCCAAGCCCATACATCCTATCCCTTCGCAGACTACTCCCTTCCCGTGTGCCGTCTCTGCCTGGCATAATCTTTTGACGAGTGAATCTGCTTTTTCTTTCAGGGTCCCTTTTCCTTTGAGGAGGTGGCCGTGTATTTCACCGTGGCAGAATGGGCCCTGCTGGATCCGGGACAAAGAGCTCTGTACAGGGAAGTCATGCTGGAGAACTATCGGAATGTGACCTTTCTGGGTAAGGATCTTTCATAGGTGCCAAAGGTGCGAATTGCTGCCATTGTGAGGAGGCGTGAATCAAAATACTGAACAGCTATTCACAGTTTTGAGGCCTGTAGCACTACTTGGGGAGGGGCTGCAGATGATCCCAGGTTCAATCCCCAGCAGCACCTCCAGTTAAAAGGATCAGGTAGGAGGTGATGTGAAAGAGCTCTGCCTGAGACCCCGGAAAGCTGCTGCCGTATTGAGGAGACAGTATTGACTTCAGTGGACCAAGGGTCTAATTCGGTAGAAGGCAGCTTGCCATGTTCACATGTGTGGTCCTGCCCAGGGGCAACTGAGGCAGAGTTGGGGACGAGAGACCCTCAGAAAGACCCTGCAAGGGGCCTGATCCTCATTTCTCTGCTAACAGCCTTTACAACACATCTCCCCCCCGGATGGGGTTAGAAATGTCCATTCTGCCCGTGATCTGGAAATGATCCTGTCAAGGACCCAAGCCTGGGTCCCCCCCCCCCCGGGGTCACTCCTCTTGTGCCTGAGCAGCACCCAGTTCAGTGGTGTTGTGTCCTGCAGGCGTTCCTGGGAATCCTGAACTTCTACCACGCCTTCCTTCCCCACAAGGCGGCGGTGGCAGAACCCCTCCATCGTCTGTTGGACAAGCAAGCCCTATGGGTGTGGGGCCCCCGGCAGGCCGCTGCATTCAGAAACGTCAAAGAACTTTTAATTTCGAACGCGGTCCTGGCTCACTTTGACGAGTCTCTGCCGGTGGTGCTCGCTTGCTACGCCTCACCCTACGGCGTTGGAGCTGTGCTTGCGCTTCACCTGCTGGACGGCCGGGAGGTCCCGATCGCATATTACTCACGCACTCTATCTGCGGCGGAACGGAACTATGCCCAGATAGACCGCGAGGGACTTGCAATCGTGGCCGGGGTCAAGAAGTTCCACGACTTCGTCTACAGCCGGCCCTTCACGATCGCCACTGACCACCGCCCGCTCCTTGACCTGTTCGCGCCCGACCGCAGGACGCCGCAAGTCCTCTCCCCACGCATCCGAAGATGGACCATTTTCCTGGCGGGTTACGACTACCGGATCGAGCACCGTCCAGGGAAAGCCATGGGCCACGCCGACGCCCTTAGCCGCCTCCCCCTGCTGGACGTCGTAGAGGACCCAGCTCCGGTGCACCAGATCCTCCAGGTGGAGGACCTCCCTGACACACCTCTCCAGGCTGCTGACATCGCCTGACGCTTGACCCGAGACCCCATTATATCCCGGGTGCTGAGCTGGGTGGTGAGGGGGTGGCCTACGAGGGTAGAAGGGCCGGAATTCACAGCATTCAAGGCCCGCAAGGATGAATTGTCAGCGCACAAAGGCTGCCTGCTGTGGGGAGACCGGGTTGTGGTCCCCAGCGCCGTGCGACAAAGAGTCCTGCAGGCCCTGCACGAGGCCCACCCGGGCATCGTGAGGATGAAAGGCCTAGCCAGAAGCTACGTCTGGTGGCCCGGCATCGACGCGGAGGTAAAAGCATGGGTGAAAAGGTGCCAGGCCTGCCAAGCCGTGCGACCCAGCCCACCAGGGGCGCCACACCACTCATGGGAATCCACCCGTGGTCTCGGCTCCACACTGACTTTGCCGGACCATTCCATGGACTGTTGTTTTTGGTGACGGTGGATTCCTACACGAAGTGGTTGGAGATCAGCCACGTCTCCGCAACGTCCACGAAGGCAACCATCCGCGCCCTCCTAAGGCTCTTCGCCACCCGCGGCCTGCCAGACACCATCGTCTCAGACAACGGGACGGCGTTTACTTCCGAGGAATTCCAGCAGTTCCTCAGCGGCAACCTGATTCAGCACATCAGGACGGCACCCTTCCACCCCGCGACCAACGGCCAAGCAGAGCACATGGTCCGGACAGCGAAGGAGACCCTCAGCCGTCTATCGGAAGGGGACTGGGAATGCCGCATCGCCCGGTTCCTCCTGGCGCAGCGAACGACGCCTAACCCGGTAAGCGGCCGCTGCCCCGCCGAACTGTTAATGGGCCGGAGGCCAACGATCCTGTTAGACCGCTTGCACCCCAGCCGGGCTCTGGACCAGCGGAAAGACTCCGAGCAGAGGGAAGCACCGCGCGGGTTCTTCCCCGAGGAACCCGTCCTTGCCCGGAACTTCGGCAGGGGCCCGGAGTGGCTCGCGGGCCGCATCATTCAACCAACGGTGTTACCATGGGTGCTTGCAGTATGGCATGCGCAATGCCTCCTAGGGGTTGGCTTTCTCTCGGACAAACAACATCGAGCAGACAAGACGACAACATTTAACACAGAAATATAGGATAGAGGACAATACACTATTGGGCTGTCAGCTGACACAGTTCCTGGGAATTAGTAGCATTTGTGGCCAATCTGACCTCTGGATACACGGGGGAAATTACTCAGGCAAAAGCCCGCCTCTATAGCCAGAGTTGATTTGGGCTCCCAGAACCGGTTCTGGTCTGGTTCGGGTAACAACGGGCACCGTCATGTATGAGGTGTCCACGGTATAAGAATGACCTTTCTCTCTCTCTCTCTCTCTCTCTCTCTAAGAAACAAGAAGTATAAGAGAGACTACAGTGGAAACAGACAATGGCCTTGAATCCAAAGAAAGGCTGGAGAGTTCCTCAAGAGGATCCCAAGAGCATATTTCCTTCCCAAGTAAGCTGGCTGAAACTGAGTATCCTTTTTTAAAACATCTTTTTATTAATTTTCAGAAGAAAAAACAGAATAATCATACATTATTTTCACATCCCAGCAAAACAAAAGAACCAAACTGGAAGCAAAAATTTACACACAGATAATAATCAATTCTGTATTCCATCTCTAGTAAATTGTCATCTCTTTGGTTTTACAAATCATGTATTTCATGCCTCTCTACAAAGTTGTAAAAATGTATTCTATTCATTTTATTAAATTGTCAAATCTCTCCCTATAGAATTACATTCCCAATACTAAATACCTAATTTTTAATAAACCACTTTTTTGAACATATCTTAGTAGTTACAAATCTGTCTATTCTTTTTTTAATACTTTCTTTATTAAATTTTAAAGACATAATGTCATTAAAATTCAATAAAGAAAGTATTAAAAAAAGAATAGACAGATTTGTCTATGCGAGTTATAGTGAAAAATACATAAGATATGAAGAAATATTTACTGTTGCAATGATGTTGAAAAATGTAATTTTTGGTTGGGTATTTGTTTAAAATATAAAGGTTCTTAGACATACATTCTAAAGTCATTACCTATCACCTTATCTTCTTTTATTTAATTCAACGGATATCAACAATAGCTGAGTTCTTCAATAGTCTTCTCAGCAAAAATTTCTCGAATGTTTAACCAGGCCCCAACAGGTTCATGACCTTATTTTCCAATCTTAACCATATATTTTATATATTACATTCTAACAACAAATTAGTACTCACAACTTTAGTCTTATTTTATTCCTTTACATTATCATGGCAAAAATAACCCCTATAAAAAACATTAGAAATAAAATTTTAAAAAAATAACTCAAGTGTTTATAGCCATTTACTGGGGGGTATCCAAGCATATAATTAACTCCAAAAATCAAATATTCAAAATTAAAATCCTTTTAAGCAACAACAGAAATAAGCTTTGAAGATAACACAAAAGAACTTAACCATTAGGCTGCACAGAGGTCTAAAGTTCTTATTATCATTCCAGAATAAATCAGAATATATTCTAACAATTATTACTCATAGCTTTAGTCCTATTTCATTTTTTTACGTTATAATGGCAAAAATAATCCCTGTAAACAACATTAGAAATAAGAATTTAAAAATAACTCAGGTGTATATAATCATTTACTGGGGAGTATCCAAACATATAATTAGCCCCAAAAGCCAGATATTCAAAATTAATGATCTAGAGTCAGATATAAATTAATTTTTTCCACTCACTTTCTTTCCCCCCCAGTTAAAAGTTATTAATAGACTACCCCAATCCTTCTTACAGTACTTAGTTACTTTGTATTATGCTAACAAAAATAATCCTTTTAAGCAACAACAGAAGTAAGCTTTGAAGATAGCCCAAGAGTACTTAACCATTAAACTGCACAGAGGTCTAAAGTTCTTATTATCATTCCAAAATAAATCAAGATGCCTTAGTCCAATACATTCATTTCCGTCCTTTAACACCATCCACATTTCATTTGGTTTATAAAAAAGAAAAAGAATTATGCTACCACAGATGGCAACCCTGTTTCCTGAAGCGCCCTCTTCTCTATGATCAGTTCTTGGTGCTTCTCCTCTTTATACTCATATATATCCACTCCATCTTGTTTTTCCTGTTTAATCAGATCTGGCACATGGGCTTTGCAGTCCTTAGTCCTTTTCTCTGGAATTTTTTTCATTTTCTTGTTACTCCACTTCTTCATATCTGCATTAAGCTGCTTTCGGGCATTTCCTCCTGTAAATCCTACTGTCTTGGCTCACTTTGCCAAATGCTTTACTCGAGTTTTTATCTGGGAGTGTTTCTTCTCCGTCTCCATACAAAATGAGTCTTGTGCTTTTTTCTCTTTCTCTGAAATCACAGAACGCTGACATTGCAGGGGCTCCTCCTTCTCTTCCAGGTCTGGTTTCTGTTTGCTTTCCAATTCTAGGTCTTTATTTAGAAGGTTCTTAATAATACTTTTGCAGGCAGCTTCAGCTGCCTGCTGCACCTCGTTAAATAGTATTTCTTTGAAGTGGTCCAAGGTTATATATCCAAGTTCACTGTTTTCTAAGTTAATTAATATTGTTTCTCCTGCTGAGTCTTCTTCCTTTTCCCCAATTAACGCCATTTCCTTATCACTGCTCCGTTCCTTTCCACGGCCGCTTATATATTTCAAAAGTTTGAGCTAATCTTGTGGGAGTCATTTAATGAGGGTCATCACAGATTGTGAAGAGAGCAATTGCGTACTCACAAGTTTCTTTTGTTGCAAGACGAATCAAAGAAAAAAAACACCCATAAATGAAACAGTCTTTAAAACGGCTGGTCGCAGCTAAAGAAAAACATGGGAGCCATGTTTCTTTCCCTCGGTTGCTCCTGCTTCGAGGCAAAAAACAGCTCACCCCCACACTTACCA